TTGGTTCGTGAGCCACTTAAGAGTGATGACTATAGCTTTTTTATCTCTCATTCCTAACAGATAGCTCCAAAAGCCTGTCCTATAATTACCACTCAATAAATATTGCATTGTGTTTTCAAATTCTCAATAGGATGTCTCATTTGATTATAAGTTTTCTCTTTAATTTTTCTTATTTTTACTAACATGCAAATGTTTCAGTGAAATAGTATAAGGAGGCTCATATCAAAACACAGCCATCCCCAGGACTTCCCTGGCAGTCCGCACACTTCTACTGCAGGGGGCATAGGTTCAACCCCTGATCAGGGAACTAAGATTCCTCATGCCATAGGGAATGGCCAAAAAATAAATAAATGAAATAACCAATAAATACAATAACATAACTGTCCCCAAGTCTTCTCCCTGCTCCAGGATTCTGATTTCCAAGGTGATTACTTCAACCCCCTCTGATTTTCTTTTTGGTAATCTACTGCTCTATTTACAACATGCCCACCTGCTATTTCTTGATTTCTCAGTTAAGTGGTTAAGGGCCATCAAGGAAATATTATTTACCCATGGCCTTGAGGCCTGTCGCCCCTTTAGATTTTCATCTCCGGATGCATGAACCCAAACAGCGGCTGTGGGCATCTCTAACTGTCGCTGCGTGCCACTTAATGTCAGCATCTGACCCAGTTCAACGTGCCTGTATTTGTATAACAGCATTGTTGGAAATGGTCTTTCCCAGTGGCTCAGCGGGTAAAGAATCTGCCTGCCAATGCAGGACACACAGGTTCGATCCCTAGGTCGGCAAGATCCCCTGGAGGAGGAAATGACAAACCAATCCAGCTTCCTTGTCTGGAGAATCCCAAGCACAGAGAAGCCGAGCGGACTACAGTCCATGAGGTCGAAGAGTCAAACTCGACTCGGCAACTGAGCACACATACACATCGGTCGAAATGCCATTTCTATACCGGTCTGTAAAATCCTTCCAACCCTTTTATAAGGCAGGTTTTAAGGTCCTCACAGTGGATAAGAAAACAGAGGCTCACAGGGTCTTGTGACTTGCCTGAGATTACACAGCTGGCTAGTTAGAGGCGGGGCTGGGCTAGAACCCAGGCTACTTTCCACCCACCTAGGCTCCATTGCCCATTTGCCAAGTGCCAAGAAGTCGGCGTTCTCTCCACCTCAAGTTCAACCCAGAAGCATGTCCAGTGGAGCCCAAGAGGTTAAGTCATAGGGAGGTGACAACCACCACACATCAGACGGCTACCCTTCATGTCACCTTGCAGGAGACTGGCTCAACTTGCTTTCAGAGCTCCTCATGTCACCAGGAAGTAGGAATAATAAAGCCCTGATCAAGTTACTGAATACTGCCGCGGTTGTTGGGTTCTGCAGATTCCAGGGAGCTCTTCCAGCCATAAGGGAGAACAGGAGCAGGGTTGGGGCAGGCTGCCCACTCTCTCTATTTCTATACGCCTCGCCCCTCTCCCCTTTCCCTGGTGAGGACTCTGGGGAGGGGGCAGGGGAGGAGAGGAATGTTATTTTTAACCCTAAGGTCAGTATTCCAAAATGCCAGAATAAAAATATCAACTGAACTTGGGATAATCTGTAAAACAAACTTTATTCTCAAGTGTGATTTTTCCCAGAGGTACAAGATACAGGTGCTTTAAAAAACGGACTTTGCTTTAGGGACTTCCCTGGTGGTCTACTGGTTAAGAATCTGCCTTCTAGTGCAGAGAATGCAGGTTCGATCCCTGGTCAGGGAGCTAAGATCCCACATGCCACAGAGTAACTAAGCCTACATACCACAATTACTGAAACTGTGCACTCTAGAGCCTGAGCACCATAACAAGAGAAGCCCAGGTGTCACAACTAGAGAAAGTCCACAGGCTGCAATGAAGAGGCCAGGCAGGCAAAATTAAAAAAAAAAAAAAAGGACTTTCTTTAAAACAGCCCTGGTTCCTCAACTGAGAGCTTCTAGCCATTGGGCTACACAGGTCATTTTGTATCTGTGATTCTTGATCTGTACTTTGAACCTTTTGCCATTTCTTTGCTTCCAGGTCCTCCCTGGGTGATGTGTTGTTGTTTTGCTTCATTTATGGAATAGAGCTATGTGATCCCTGCTAGAGATATACTTATTTAATACTTATTGTTGTTGTTTGTTGTTCTGTCACTAAGTCATGTTCGACTCTCTGTTGACCCCATGGACTACAGCACGCCAGGCTCCCCTGTCCGCCACCATCTCCCAGGAGTTTGCTTAAGTTCATGTCCATGAGTCGGTGATGCTATCTAACCATCTCATTCTCTGCCGTCCTCTTTCCTTTTGCCTTCAATCTTTCCCAGCATCAGGGTCTTTTCCAGTGAGCTGGCTCTTTGCATCAGGCGGCCAAAGGACTGGAGCTTCAGCTTCAGCATCAGTCCTTCCGATGAATATTCACAGTTAAGTTCCTTTAGGAGTGACTGGTTTGATCTTCTTACAGTCCAGGGGACTCAAGAGTCTTTTCCAGCTCCACAGTTTGAAAGCATTGACTCTTGGGCACTCAGCCTTCTTTATGGTCCAGCTCTCACATCTGTACATGACTACCAGAAAAACCATAGCTTTCATATATATGTGTATAAATTTTTTGGTTGACCAAAAAGTTAATTCGGGTTTTTCCATATAGTGTTACAGGATATATATATATATATATATATATATATATATATATATATATATATATATATACATATATATATATAATTTAATATACTTATATTTTTATTATATATATGTTTTGCTTTTTTTGGCTGTGGGGTCTTAGTTCCCTGACCAATAATTGAGCCCACATACCCTTCAGTGAAACTGTGGAATCTTAACTACTGGGATGTAGTTAATGACCTGGGAAGTCCCTATTTATTTATTTTTTAAGAGCAAATTTTTATATATTTACCTCCAAAGTAGATCAGAATTATAGTATCAAATTGCTTTTTGCTTGAGTGAATTTGTTTGCCTATTCCTCTGAACTAGAGTCATTTAATAGAACCACTGTGCCCCGCCCCACCCACCCCACCCACCCCACCCCAGCCTAGCAAACAGAGTACAACTTCAGGGGCACTTAGGGTCTGGACAAGAAGGACGCAGGGCACTCAGCATGTGGATGGAAGCAACTTGAGCATTCAGTAAATTCCATCCATGACCTTTAGAAAATGGCAATATAAACCCTCATATCCCAGGCAATCATATATGTGCATAATCATTGGGAGTTGAAGTTTAATCACATAATTTAGTCACTACCTGGGTCATTGCTGCCACTTCCTCAAAAATGTAAACACATCATCTCTTATGTCTACTGCATTGGCAGGAAGGTTCTTTACCACTAGCACCACCTGGGATAGACAAATAATTCAAGTCTAAATTCCTCATACACTGCAAATAACGATCTGGTCCTGACTGCCTGTTTGGGATTATCTCCTGCCAGACAAGCCCCAATCCCCACTCTTTTATATATGTATATATATAATTTTATTTATTTATTTTTGGCTGTGCTGGATCCTTGTTGTTGCCCAAGCTTCTCTGTAGTTATGGCGACCGGGAGCTGTTTGTTGCAATGTGTGGGCTTCTCATTGCGATGGCTTCTCTTGGGCAGCATGGGTTACGACTCCCAAGCTTCAGTAGTTTCAGCTTCCCAGGCTCTATAGTTTTAGTGCACAGGCTTAGTTGCTCCGAGGCACATGTGATCTTCCTGGACCAGGGATTGAACCCCGTGTCTCCTGCATTGGCAGGTGGGTTCTTTACCACTGAGCCACCAGGGAAGCCCCCCGACCCCACCTTTTCTTTTTTTTAAATATGTATTATTTACTTTTGCTGCGCCAGGTCCCAGTTGCAGCATGTGGGATCTAGTTCCCTGACTAGGGATGGAACCCGGGCCCCCTACATTGGGAGAGTGGAGTCTTTTCCACTGGACTACCAGGGAGGTCTCCCAACACCACAACTTTTCATGCTTTTAGGACTGAAATTTCGTCCTCCCCACTCCTAATCCTCTTCAGAGGGGAGCTCCTCCAGGAAGCCTTCCTAGCTTCCATGTGGGAAGCACGTCTTTTGTCCGTTATCTCTAACACATGCCTCACAGTTTGTGGGAACTTAGTTCCCCAACCAGGGATTGAACTTGGGCTGCTGCAGTGGAAGTGCTGAGTTCCAACCACTGGACTTTCAGGGAATTCTCAACAGTGCTTTTAAGCAGTGTTGGACTGATGATAGGATAAGAAGTACATCTTTAAGGCAGATCTTTCAGAATCAAGGTTGGCAACTATAGTCTTAACAGGCATGCATTTTTCCCATTTCCTTGTGGACAAAGATATCTTTGTTACCTATATTTTTTTTTTTCTTTGTTACCTATATTTTTTTTTAAGTCCCACTGAGTCACAAGATATTAGGTGGCAGGACTAGGTTCACACAAACTCATTCTTAGACTCACAATTGGGAACATACAGGATGCTGGAGCCGCAAGGAGTGAGCCCTGAGAGCTGGGGGTGCAGCATGGAGACATGAGCAGTTCAGCTCTGCCCTTGGCCTCCAGTTCCAGCTCCCCAGACTCGGTACCACTACTCAGGTTTCTTTACCAGTCCAAAGTGGCTTCCCAGGTGGCATTAGTGGTAAAGAGCCCCCTTGCCAATGCAGGAGATTTAAGAGACGTGGGTTCGATCCCGGAGTGGGGAAGATCTCCTAGAGGAGGGCATGGCAACCCACTCCAGTATTCTTCCCTGGAGAATCCTATGGGCAAAGGAGCCTGGTGGGCTGCAGTCCACAGAGTCATGAAGAGTTGGATATGACTGAAGGGGCTTAGCACACGCACTGGTCAGAAGTAAGTGTCCAGATCCATTGCCAACAGGTGCTGCTTGGTGTTGGAAAGCAGCCAGCAATGCCCCTCCCCTCCCCCCTCCTGAAGACTGATTTGAAGTCCGCTTGAGACACAAAAATGAATGCTAGTTACACTCCTCAAGTCCCTACAACCTTAGCCTTCATCCAAAGTCATCTCTTTCTCTAGGAATCAGCATCAACAGGACATTAAGGAAAGGTCCCCAGAGTTACTGCGAAATGCTGTGTCTCAGGCACCCATCACGAGAAGGAGGGCGACCACCCACATGGAGTCAGTACAGAGGACCCGTGCTCGGGACACACACCCCAAGGCCACAACCCTCACAGCGGGCAAGCTCAGGGGAGCGCAGACCAGCAGCAAGGCCCGTGCCGAGGGGCCGGGCAGAGCGCCCACCCCCACCAGAAAGGCAGCACCGCCGACGCGGGCGAGCAAGGACACCGGGGCGGACGCGCGGCCCCCGACGGCTGGAGGTGGGGGCGGGGCCTCCGGCAGGACCGAGGCGCCGTCACCGAACAGTCGGAGCCCGAGGACGGCCAAAGGATCTGGGGACCGGAAGGCGAGGCCGACAGGCCCCGGAGCGGTGCCCACGAAGCCGCGGGACAGCCCGGCAACTGCAGCCAAGACACTCCTTCCAAAACACCAGGCCGGGGCGCGGACCCCCGGGGGAGGGGGGCGGGCGGGGAAGGGAGCCAGAGCAGCCACCCCAGACGGAGCCCAGCCCACCCGGTCCTCGGCCCCTCTCCCGAGCCCCGCCACCCGAAGCCAGAAGCTGAAGGCCGCCAACTTCAAGTCTGAGCCCCAGTGGGATTTTGAGGAGGAATACAGTCTGGAGGTGGGCGGCCTGCAGACGGTGAGTTTTTCCTCTTCCGGAGACCCTGAGGCCCACTCCCTCCCATCCCTCCGGGGCTCTGCTCCTAAGCTCTCCCCCACACGGCTCAACCAGGTGAGGGTGTGATTGAAGGGCTGCCCCGGTCCCCAGGAGGCCCGGAGGCTCCTCAGAAAGGGTGAGAGAGTGTGACCTCAGCAGGCGGAGGAGCAGGACTGGGCAGGGACCAAGGGACAAGAACGCCCCAACCTGGTGCCCAGCCCTATCCTCCCCAGAGAGAGAATTCCAAGACCCTCTCTCTCTTCCAGCCCTAAGAAAAGCAGCCTGGGGCCCCAGCCACGGGAGGGGAGACACGGAAGTTTGCACACAAAACTGCAGCCAGGCACCGCCCAGGAGACCCGTGGCACACGTCCTGCTCGCGGTGGGCTTGAGCGATCAATGACCAGGGGGACCAGAAGGCTCTGGGAATAGGATGGACGATGTGGCGGAGGTGGGGCCTTTCCAGCTAGTTTCTGCTCCCACGCCCACCTCCCCGTCCTGGCCCCAGGGCCCCTCACCCCACCCCACCCTATCCCCCGCCCCACAGCTTCCCCGGCCTCTCTCCCGGCCTGACCCATCCTCCTGCTTGCAGGCCTGCCCTGACTCGGTGAAGATCAAAGCCTCCAAGTCACCCTGGCTCCAGACTCTCTTTCTGCCCAACCTCACCCTCTTCCTGGACTCCAGACACTTCAACCAGAGCGAGTGGGACCGCCTGGAGCACTTCGCTCCGCCCTTCGGCTTCATGGAGCTCAATTTCTCCTGTGAGTCCTCGTTCAAGGGGCCTGGATGTGCATTAGGCCACAGCAGAGGGCCATGCTTCTTAAATAGTATTTTTAAAATATTTTTTGGCCATGCTCTGCAGCATGTGGAGTCTTAGTTCCCCGACCAGGGATCAAATCCTCAGCCCCTGCATTGGGAGCGCAGAGTCTTAACCACTGGACCATGAGAAAAGTCCCAGAAGGCCACGCTTTTTAAAAAGTTATGTTTTAAATCTGTATTTACTCTTTGGCCATGTGTTGCAGCATATGGGACCTCAGGGATGGAACCCAAGGCTCTGCACTGGGAGCGTAGGGTCTGAACAACCGGACCACCAGGGAAGTCCCAGAGGACCATGCTTTTCTGCCTCTGGCCCACCTCTCCCCTGCGGGCAATCAGCCCCGGGAGAAAGGGCCGGCGGCCCCCTGGCCCTGGCTGGGCTCTGAGTGGAATCCCCCCGGCCCCCACATTGCAGTGGTGCAGAAGGTCGTGATGCACTTCCCCCCCGTGCCCCAGCAGCAGCTGCTCCTGGCCAGCCTCCCTGCCGGGAGCTCCCGGTGCATCAGCTGTGCCGTGGTGGGCAACGGGGGCATCCTGAACAACTCCCACGTGGGCCCAGAGATAGACAGCCACGACTATGTGTTCCGGTGAGCCTGCACCTGCCCCGACCCCCACCCCTCTTCTACAGAGCAGGGCTCTTCCCGGAGAGCTCAGAGGGTGCTCCCTGCCTGGGTCCAGAAGCTGGAGGGGAGGGTCCTGGGCTCGCTAGTGCCGGCCCCCCATCCCTTCTTCCTTCCCCCGACCACCTCCACACATCACCAGCAGCCCTCATGTGCTCTGATTTTGTCTTTCTGGCTAGGCTGAGTGGCGCCGTCATCAAAGGCTATGAACACGATGTGGGTACTCGGACCTCCTTCTACGGCTTTACTGCCTTCTCTCTGACCCAGTCACTCCTTATACTGGGCAGTCGGGGTTTCCGGCATGTGCCTCTGGGGCAGGTGAGCAAAGAGGGATGGGCCTGGCTGCCCACAGACTTTGGGTATGGGAGGATGCAGGTGAGACAGGGAGACAGACAGGGAGTTAGGGAGCATCCTGAGTCTAGAGCCTGTCGTCGGTACAGTCTCCAGGCATGTGAGGGACAAGGGCAGGGAGGGCAGCCATACCAGGCCAGAGGAGAGCAAGCAGGCAGCCTGGGATCAAAGTCAGGCCACCCCACCCAAGGCAGGACTCCTGGACCACACGCTGTCCTTGGTCTTCAGGATGTCCGCTACCTGCACTTCCTGGAAGGCACCCGGGACTATGAGTGGCTAGAAGCACTGCTTCTGAATCAGACCATGGCTTCAAGGAACCTTTTCTGGTTCAGGTACCCACCGCCCCCTCCCCTCACCCACAGACAAGCTGTGGAGGGGGCAGCCGGGAAGGGTGGACAGGTGGGGACATTCTGAGCTCTCACTTGGAGATGGGGGACCAGTCATGCCCATGACCCTGCCTTGGCCCTCCCCCGGAGAGGTAAGAGAATGAAGGACCCATTCCTGCCCACAGGCGCAGACCCCAGGAGGCCTTCCAGGAAGCCTTCCAACTGGACAGATACCTGTTGCTGCACCCAGACCTGCTCCGATACATGAAGAACAGGTGAGAGCGGGAAGCCCGTGGAAGGGGCGAATCCCTCTCATTCTGGCGAACCTCCTGACAGCTGGGGGGCTGGGCTGTCTCTTAGATTCCTGAGGTCTGAGACTCTGAACACTGCCCACTGGAGAATATACCGGCCCACCACGGGAGCCCTCCTGCTGCTCACTGCCCTCCAGCTCTGTGACCGGGTGAGGCCCTGCTTCTGGAGCCCGCGGATCTGGAGAAACAGCTCTGGGGTAGCCCTGGGCCTGCTCAGCAAGGGATGATGGCTGGGGGATGGGGGGACGGGCCTGAGTGCGGACACCTGCCTGTGTGCAAGTGTGCTTCCAGGGGTCCTGCACCCAGACCCCCAGGGATAGAACCAGGATACAGGACCCTGCCCCCAACACACACAGAGAAGAAACCCAAGAGACACACACGCAGGCCTTATTTCTCCTCCACCTTCCTGCAGGTGAGTGCCTACGGGTTCATCACTGAGGGCCACGAACGCTTCTCTGACCACTACTATGATAAGTCCTGGAAACGAACCATCTTTTACATCAACCATGACTTCAAGTTAGAGAGGACACTCTGGAAGCGGCTACATGATGAAGGTATTATCCGGCTGTACCAACGTCCTGTAACTTCCAAACCGACCATCTGAAGGGAGCCAGGGCTACCGAAGTCCCTTCAGTTATTCTAAGACTCAGAGCACAGTGGGAGACCAGTGGCTCATCCGTCATCTTCCCAGCGCCTGGACCAGGCTCTGAGCCCCTCCAGACTTTGGGGGTAGAGGTCTACCAAACTAGTGCAGAGGGGGGGACACCCTCAAGATGGCAAATGATGGACTGAGGTTTCGGAGACCTTGCAAAAATTTCTGCAGGGTCTGTTCCATGGAGGTGGGGACTCAATTTTTGAAACCAAGGGGACTTCCCTGGTGGCTCAGATGGTAAAGAATCTGCCTGCAAAGCAGGAGACCTGGGTTCAATCCCTCAGTCAGGAAGATCGCCTGGAAAAGGGCATGGCAACCCACTCCAGTATTCTTGCCTGGAGAATCCCATGCACAGAGGAGCCTGGCAGGCTACAGCGCATAGGGTTGCAAAGAGCTGGATACGATTTAGCGACTAACACTTTCACATTTTCACTGTTCAAAAGCTACTTGGCACAAAAGGAGGAGTCTGAACTTATGGAGATATGTAGATTTGGGATTGAATTACAGATCTTCCACTTAGCAGCCATTAAATCTTGAAGGCATGACTGTATTTCACTCTAGACTGTCTGTTGGACCCTTCCAGGGGTTATCTGATTCTAATAGAAGGTCTGCAAACTTTCCTTATCTTTGAGCTACTTGACAACTCTCTGGGTTGTAGAAAACTGATATTAATAAAAATGATTTCTGTCTGAATGAAAAATGGGGATAGTGATCAGTCTTGTTCCTATCAAATAAATTTTAGTATTCTGGACTGCCAATGTATGTCTGGACTTTGGGCTCTTTTTTGACCAGTTTTTACTAGTTCCTTCACTAATTAATGAGTTAAATAAAATCTCTGATATGTGTTCATTTTATATTTGTATAAGAATCACAGTTTTATCCCTAAAAAAAAGAAAAATCATCCTTAGGACTTCCCTGGTGGTCCAGTGGTTAAGAATCTGCCCTGCAATGCAGGAGACGCAGGTTCCATCCCTGATCGGGGAACTAAAATCCCACATGCCGTGGGACAACTAAGCCCGTGTGCCACAAATTCTGAGCCCATGTACCTCAATTAGAGCCAGTGAGCCACGAACTGCAGAGCCCACAGGCTGTGAACCATGAGCCGCAACTAGAGAGAAGCCTACACATGGAAACAAAGAGCTGGAGTACTGCAGCTAAGACCCAGTGCAGCCAAAAATAAATAAATGATGAATACTTTTTAAAAAGTCATCCTTTAACATTTCCTTAGGCCGTTGTTTTCTAATCTGTAAAATGACTTTTGTTGTTGTTGTCCAGTTTCTAAGTTATGTCTGACTCTTTTTGACCCCGTGAACTGCAGCACACCAGGCTTCCCTGTCCTTTGCTATCTCCCAGAGTTGGCTCAAACTCACATCCACTGAGTCTGTGATGCTATCTAACCATCTTATCCTCTGTCACCCCCTTCTCTTGCCCTCAATCTTTCCCAGCATCAGGGTCTTTTCCAGTGAGTCAGTTCTTCACATCAGGTGGCCAAATTATTGGAGCGTCAGCTTCAGCATCAGTCCTTCTAATGAATACCCAGGGTTGATTTCCTTTAGGATTGACTGGTTTGGGAGTGTCCATTTCACAAGAATTTTTTAAGTCACTGATGCAACAAGGCACGTTTTCCTTCTCCTTTCATTTTTATTAATCCTCCCATCAACCTGCATTTTCTAAAACTCCAGAAAGAGAATTTGGGCTAAGCTGAAGATACTTCAGTTCACCTTACCTCTTTGAGCTCTGTCTCCAGGATTTGAACTCTGAAGCCCAGAAGAACTTGGGCAGGCAGCAGAGTAGGGGAGTGAGCGGGTAGGGGGTGAGGGGTGGGGGACGGGGGGGTGGGTGGGAGGGTGTTGTGAAGCAAGCTCCCTTTCAGACTTAATTCTCAGGTTCCAAAGCTAATTAACATTAGTGCTGCTGATTTGCTCAGTCGTGGCCGACTCTCTGCGACCCCATGGACTGTAGGCCACCAGGTTCCTCTGTCCATGGAATTTTCCAGGCAAGAATACTGGAGTGGGTTGCCATTTCCTTCTCCAGGGGATTAATACCAGTAGGTCCCGATTTGCTTTGTTCAAGGGTGCAGTACCAGCTCTGGGCGGCAGGTGGCGGCATCTCTACGTCCCCTTCTCAGTGGTACCCAGCTTTTATTAGGTTTTCCTAACTATTCCTGAATATTGGAGAAGGAAATGGCAACCCACTCCAGTACCAGTGTTTTTACCTGGAGAATCCCAGGGACGGGGGAGCCTGGTGGGCTGCCGTCTGTGGGATCACACAGAGTCGGACACGACTGAAGTGACTTAGCAGCAGCAGCAGCAACTATTCCTGCGGGGCTTCCCTGATAGTTTAGTTGGTAAAGAATCCACCTGCGATGCAGGAGACCCCTAGCAACTTGCTAGTTTGTTCTTTCATGTGAATTTCAGTATCCGTTTAGAATCATATGCTATTGGTAGAGGACGTTCAAATCTGCCTCCTCAAATTTAAACTTGGGCTACCCAAATATAAAGGCTGAGTCCCATGTGAAAGTGAAAGTGCAATGGCTCAGCTGTGCCCAACTCTTCGTGATCCCATGGACTATAACCCACCAGGCTCCTCTGTCCATGGGATTTTCCAGGCAAGGATACTGGAGTGGTGCCCATTTCCTTCTCAGGGGATCTTCCTGACCCAAGCATTGAACCCAGGTCTCCTACACTGCATGCAGGTTCTTTACTGACTGAGCTACCAGGGAATCTTTATCTGGGTCCAAATAGGACGGTGAAGAACTGGGAAGCCTGGTGTGTCCGTGGGGGTTGCAAAGAGTCCAACACCACTTAGAGACTGAACAATAATACAAATCTGCATAAACTGTAAGATTAACTCACTCTGAGTGAATTAGAAAAGAGAAATCAAAGGCATAAGAATTAGAAAAGAATCCATGTGCAGATGATATTGTAGATATCATTGATATACTGATATAGTAACATACAGAGATACAAAATTAATGGACTGAAACCAGTAGACTTCATAAACATAAATAATAACCAGGGAGATATAATGTAGAGAAAACCCCTCCATAGCAACCAAGAAGATGACATACTTAGCAATAAATTCAACGAAATGTCCAAAATTAAAGAAAAGACACAAAAGTAGGTTTGAACAAAAGGAGAGTCATTTCATCTTTTGTTCTTGGAAAGGATGACTCAACATAATAACTGTGTCAGTTCTCCCCAAATAAATTAATAAATTTAAGGCAATTCCATTAAAAATAACAAACTTTTTTCTAGATTCTAAATGCATACTAAAATACATATGGAAAAATAAACATGTAAGAATAGCCTAGAAAACATGAAAAAGAAAGGCAGTGAGGGAGGTCTAGCCTTGCCAAATATTAAGACATACTATAAAGTCTCTGTTATTAAAACAACATAGGGACTTTCCTGGCGGTCCAGTGGCTGACTCTGCTTCCAATGCAGGGGGCCCAGGTTCCATCCTGGTCAGGGAACTAGATCCCACATACCACAACTAAATGTTCACATGCAGCATCTAAGACCCGGTACAGCCAAACAAATGACTAAAAATAAATAAATATAAAATAGTAAACAGCAACAAAAAAACAACAACGACGTGATGCTCTGTGTGAATAAGACAGATGACTAGCTGAATGGGGTAGAAAGTCCAGAAATTTACCCAAGTGCATAAGAACATCACTGGGTCAAAACCAACTTTGTGACTAGTGGTCCTCAGAGAATAGATTCCTATTTGGAAAAAGATCAGACTAGGTCTACAACTTGCCCCCACGAATGACTAAACTCTAGATGGGTCAGAGACCTACATGTAAAAAATGAAATGCTACGAGTCCAAAGAGATACCAAGGGAATATTTCATGCAAAGATGGGCACAATAAAGGACAGAAATGGTATGGACCTAACAGAAACAGAAAATATTAAGAAGAGGTGGCAAGAATACACAGAAGAACTATACAAAAAAGATCTTCATGACCCAGATAACCACAATAGTGTGATCACTCACCTAGAGCCAGACATCCTGGAATGCAAAGTCAAGTGGACTTTAGGAAGCATCACTACGTACAAAGCTAGTGGAGGTGATAGAATTCCAGTTGAGCTTTAAAATCCTAAAAGATGATGCTGTGAAAGTGCTGCACTCAATATACCAGCAAATTGGCAAAACTCAGCAGTGGCCACAGGACTGGAAATGGTCAGTTTTCAGAATCTCAAAGAAAGGCAATGCCAAAGAATGTTCGAACTACCGCACAATTGCACTCATCTCACACACTAGCAAGGTAATGCTCAAAATTCTCCAAGCCAGGCTTCAACACCATGAACTTCCAGATGTTCAAGCTGGATTTAGAGAAGGCAGAGGAACCAGAGATCAAATTGCCAACATCCGCTGGGTCATCGAAAAAACATGAGCATTCCAGAAAAACATCTACTTCTGCTTTATTGACTACGCCAAAGCCTTTGATTGTATGGATCACAACAAACTGTGGAAAATTATTCAAGAGATGGGAATACCAGACCACCTGACCCGCCTCCTGAGAAATCTGTATGCAGGTCAGGAAGCAACAGTTAGAACAGGACATGGAACACAGACTGGTTCCAAATCGGGAAAAGAGTACGTCAAGGCTGTATATTGTTACCCTGCATATTTAACTTATATGCAGAGTACATCATGAGACATGCCAGGCTGAATAAAGCACAAGCTGGAATCAAGATTGCCAAAGGAAATATCAATAACCTCAGATATGCAGATGACACCACTCTTTTTTTTTTCATTTATTTTTATTAGTTGGAGGCTAATTACTTTACAATATTGTAGTGGTTTTTGTCATACATTGACATGAATCAGCCATGGATTTACATGTATTCCCCATCCCAATCCCCCCTCCCACCTCCCTCTCTACCCGATCCCTCTGGGTCTTCCCAGTGCACCAGGCCCAAGCACTTGTCTCATGCACCCAACCTGGGCTGGTGATCTGTTTCACCATAGATAATATACATGTTTTGATGTTGTTCTCTCGAAACATCCCACCCTCGCCTTCTCCCACAGAGTCCAAAAGTCTGTTCTGTACATCTGTGTCTCTTTTTCTGTTTTGCATATAGGGTTATCGTTACCATCTTTCTAAATTCCATATATATATGTTAGTATAATGTAATGGTCTTTATCTTTCTGGCTTACTTCACTCTGTGTAATGGGCTCCAGTTTCATCCATCTCATTAGAACTGATTCAAATGAATTCTTTTTAATGGCTGAGTAATATTCCATGGTGTATATGTACCACAGCTTCCTTATCCATTCATCTGCTGATGGGCATCTAGGTTGCTTCCATGTCCTGGCTATTATAAACAGTGCTGCGATGAACATTGGGGTGCACGTGTCTCTTTCAGATCTGGTTTCCTCGGTGTGTATGCCCAGAAGTGGTATTGCTGGGTCATATGGCAGTTCTATTTCCAGTTTTTTAAGAAATCTCCACACTGTTCTCCATAGCAGCTGTACTACTTTGCATTCCCACCAACAGTGTAAGAGGGTTCCCTTTTCTCCACACC